TCAAGAACATTTCATCAAAGTTCACTCATTCTTGGTAAGATACTTTCTATTCAAGGTGATTTATTTCATTTTATACTAGATCAATCCTCATGAACACATGTTTTCATGAACATGCTCTTAGAACTTCCTAGAATTCGAAAGCTTAACTCAAGGAACACTCCAAGGCCGAAAACTCCTTCAAACTCTTCACCAAAACCGAATCCAACACCCCAAAGTGAGTTCATACCCACTATTTTCGGTTTTTACTATGTTTTGGGGGAGGATACAAGTTGCTTTGTGTAGATCTATGTGTTGATGTATGTTTATGTGTGTTTTCTATGTTATATGTGGTGATTATGTGATGAAACTTCATAAATCTCGAAAACTCTACCAAAACTTGGTGATGTTTGTAAACTAACACACATTATACAACTTACTATGAAGTGAAAGGAGTAAACATGTTGTGGAACACTAGAAAACTAAACAAAACCGTTTAAGGGGCCATTTTTGACAAATAAACAAAAATGTGAAACCTTTAGGACATTCACGGTTTATCAAGGACCAAAAGAGTAATTTTTATATAAAAATGGGTCTTAAAGGTATTTATGGTTTTAAAAGGGCCAAAAGTGTTAATTTTCACAAAATGGGCTTAAAGTTGGGCTTTCACGGTCTTATGGGCTTAATTTGTAAATTTTTGACTTTTGTGGATTAAATTGTCATTTTAAACAAATTTGCGCCAAAAATGCAAATTTTCGGTTAAAAAGGGGCTGAAAATGTCAATTTTATTAAACTTGTGCTGAAAAGGTAAATCTTTATACATTGGGCCGCAAATGTAAATTTTCATCAACGATTGGGTCGAAAGTGTTATTTGCCCTTGTATTGTTTATAACAGACAAAGAATAAGCGACATCCTTTCAAGTCCGATAACATACAATCCATTAAGCAACGAAAATAGGTAACAAAGACAATAGAATAAACATGTCACACCCCCGAACCAGACGGCGGAAACGTCTGGGGGCTTGTGCGTGACTTCATCTTGAAATATCATTACAATGAATATAAATGAAACATAACATCATCGTCACCATGCATAATATAATACAACTGTCATTGTTCACATCAAGTACAATATTTTAAATTACATGACCATAACATTCAAAGTACGATGTTTAACAGTACACAAAACAAAATCCATATTCTTGTTGATTCTTCCGCTAACGAGTTCCTGAGAATACAAGTTATTTTGAAAACGGTCAACATAACAATGTTGGTGAGTTCATAAGAGTATTTTAAATGAAAAGTTTTGTATTGATAGTACAACACCAGAAAATCCGATATTTTCCGCAAAAGAGTTTGAAATGATGTATCAAATCAAGTATTAATGCATGTGTGGTTTCCATTGTAGAAAATATGTAAAAATAAGTTCCCAAAAATCATGTTTGTTGAAAATTTAAGGCAGTGTGCAAATGTATATTTTTCCCCCAGAAAATCCGATATTTTCTGATTATAAAAGTAATGTAGTCTTAAAACCCTAAGACCAAGTATTAGTGTGTGTATGTTTTGTGTCGCCACGGTTTGTATTTGTATTCCATAATATTCTGATGGTATTGATCTTTATGTGAGTCGTTACAACCATGCTTAATAAAGACTAATTCGCCTGTCATGGCGTATCAAACGCCGGTTTGTCGAAGGTAAGGTTTGTCACCCTAGACTGGCCTAGTCTAGCTGTAGCGAACAGCTCAGGTGTGGGGTGTCACCCCGTATAGATCTATACACAAACTCCCGCTCTCCCTCCAGGTGACTCTGGTTATAACTACAGGCTATGATCATACACTCGGAGGTGTCAACCGACAAGTCTCACTAGATCCTCAACTTGTTCACGAGCAATGTATTACAAGTATATTGTCTTACATTGTATAATGTTTTACGTGTATGTTTTAAGTTTTCAAATCCAAAGTATGTTTTCGAATGTACGAGACCCAGTAACAGGTATATGGGCCACCAAGGCCCAATAACGTATAATGAATAATTCAGGCCTAATTAGCATGTATATGGGTCACTAAGGCCCAATTAACCATGAAATGGTTAATTTTATCCCAAAAAGCATGTATATGGGTCACTAAGACCCCATAGACATGAAATGAACATATTAGGCCCAACAAACATGTATATAGGCCACTAAGGCCCAAATGAACATGTAATGGATATATTAGGCCCATTATTTCGAAAATTTACATTTATGGTCCAAATGTATATAAAATGTTATTTTCGGCCTATTTTTATAGAGATTGACACTTTTGACCCAAAATATATAATAAATGTTATTTTCGGCCCATTGTTGTAAGGATTGCATTTTTAGTCCATTTTTAAATAAAATGACATATTTGACTAAAGTTTTATATATATGACATTTTTGGCCCATGATTATAAAAATTTACATTTTTATCTCACTTTTCGTAGAAATTACGCTTTTTACCCAAACTTTGGAAAAATTTCATTTTTAATCCAAGAAACCGTAGGTTTACATTTTTGGACTCAAACTTGAGTCAAATGATGATTTACTCCTTAAAATCGATATTTTTATATTTTTGGCCCACTAAAACCGAAAAGCCCATTCTTATGGCCCAATGTTTAAGAATTTACATTTTTGGTCCCTTTTACCCTCAAAACTATCATAGAAACTTATTTTTGTATAAAAGTGACTCTTTTAGTCCTTGTAAAACCGAAAGTGTCATATTTTTGTTTATTTGTTCAAAAATGGCCCTTTTTCAAGATTTTGTTTAACTCCTTATGAATCTTCACATGTTAAACCCATTTAACTTCATAGTGTGTTGTTTGAAGTGTTTTAGTTACACATATAACAACTTTTGGTTAGAATTTTCGAGATCTGTAGTGTTTCATCAAATAATCACAACTTAAACCAAGAAAACACACATAACATGCACAAATACATAGATCTAACACATGAGGACTTGTATCCTCCCCCCAAAAACAAGATTAAACCGAAAACAAGGGGGTATGAACTCACCTTGCTTGTTTGTTCTCGGTTGGGTGAAGAAAAGAGAGAGGTTTCGGCTCTAACAAGCTTTCCTTGAGTAGATCTCGAGCTTATGAGGTTTCTAAGAGTGTGATCACAAACAAATGTTTAGGAGGAGTGATCTAACATAAGAATGAAGTTATATAACTTGGACGTGTAGTGACTTACCAAGGATTGATGATTTTTGGTGAAAATCTTCTTGAAACAACTCTAAATCTTCGAAAATTTGGAGGAGGAAGGAGGTTTTTTTAGAGAGAGTTCTTTGAAGGATTTTTGAAAGAAATGAGATGGTGAGGAAGGCGGTTCGGCCGAGAAGAAGAAGTGAGAAGAGAGAGAGAGAGAGAGAGAGAGAGAGAGAGTGAGGGAGAGAGAGAGAGTGAGTGAAGTGATGTTGCATGGAGATCCTCCATGCAATAATGATGTGTCTCATGCTCATTAGTCCTCTTATTTTCTTTTCTCTTTTTTTTTTCACCTTGGGCCGAGAATGGGCCTAATGGAATGAAGAAAAAAATGTTTTTGGGCTCAAATTATTGGCTTTGTTCGAATTTCATAGGCCCATTAATATTTTTCGGCCCATTGGGCCCTTATGATGCCTCACGGCCTAATACAAGTCCATTAGGTGGTTCACGGCCCATTAGAACCAAAGAAATGGGGTTTATGAATGTGGGTCCATTTAGAGTCCAATTAAGGATTCTAGGCGCAAAATATTCGAATTGAAGGCTTATTGGCCCGTTAGGCCCAATAAGAAAATCCTAGTCCATAGCAAACTTGAACCGGGGTTTCTAGGGTTTCCAACCCTTAGTTGAACATGAGAGATGTATTTGAATGAGTATTGAGTGATATTCACTTAGAGTACATGTTTTACAATAGTTGAATGATTACATGAGAATAAAATTTCCTAGCTAAAATGCTAGTTGTGACAAAACATGACCAAACAGGCTTATTCTAACGAAACTAAATATTAAAAGTGACAGAAAAAACGAACTTCTTTGAGGCATTTAATCGAACAACACATATGCATTGCAACATGAGCAAGGTTTGGAACATTAGAATAAGAGGAAAATTTGACCAAAACATGGAAAATAGAAGATGAATACAAACAATGTTTACATAAAAAAGAATCAAATGATTTACGTGTAGAAAACCTTCATTTATTAGGTAGGATTCATAACATTTTTACAACGATTTATACATTTATTACAATAAAATAATCAGAATAAAAAACAATTCAAAGATAACCCTTACACATATATTAAATATACTAATCATTTATGATAAGGACAATTTCTTTATCATGAAAACCATAACTTTTGCATATCTTACATAATCTATTTTCCGTTGAATTCCCACTTCTAATTTCTTTTTCATATGGACAATTTCTTGAATCATGATAAGGCAATATGGAACATATCTTACAAAACCTTTTTTTATACTTCTTAACATTATCTTCATATAAACTTTCCATTCTTTTTTTGATATAGTATTATTTTCATTTTTTCTTAATATATATCATACTTCTCATTTGATATTTAGGATGATTTTTTCACATCAACAACTAACTTTATATCTTAATATAGTATTATGTTTGTTTTTTCTTTATATATATATATATATATATATATATATATATATCTTTTAGTCATATATAACCCACACAACATCAGAAATATATGTTTGACTTTTTGAATTCATCAACTAACTATTCACGAATTAATCTCATCTCACTTATATATAAACATTTTTTAAAATATCAACCAAATTAACTTATTTATAACACTATACATAATATCTTCCATACAATACATAACTAGACAACTTAAAAACAACATCATTAAAACATTGACTTCAATTCATGTCTTACATTTTATCGCTTGAAAGCTTAACAATAAACATGAAATTAAATTATCCATTGAAAAACCGAAAGCATACCTAACTAAAACTAAACAATAAAACATATCACTACTCCTACAAACATTATACCGTTTCATGGACCAAATGCTGCCAAACGAGAACCTATTTTAATAACAGCATCTTGATACAATTTACGCCTATCATTATTAGACATCATTTGATATTGATCAATTAGATTTTCAACATCAGACTTCATTATGTTCACATCACTCAACAATATTTTCAAACAATACCTCCTCTGCAACTTCCTCATTTGAAGTAATTGATCGGTACCCTCATTTTTTAATCCACATTCCCATTGTGCTAACGGACCCCCTTTATAAGTTTCCATGTGTCTCATCAAAAATATGTCGCAATCATTCGAGTTACCCCTTGTTTTCCACGTCATGTAGTGATCGAAAAAATCAATTTCATATTGAACCGCAAACACCATATTATGATTTATTTCAAGTAGATACCTCCGAAACATATATTTCTGCATAGATATATATAATTAAATTTACATTTGCAACAATAATAAGATTATATCAAAAATAAAATATTACTAAGATTATATTAAATTCAAAATAACTTAACAGATTGAAAATAAGATCTGGATATACTTCGTCAGAACAACTGTACAAAAGGTTATCCAAAATCACAGCTTTCCGGTTCTTAAAATCATAAACAAGCACAAAATAGCGATAGTTTGAACATGCAGGAAAAAACACTTATATATCAAAATCATAATTTCATTAATATATTTCATTCTCTTCAATAAAATAAAACCTATCGTATTAAAACCTTACCATATCAAATCATTTTAAACTTCTTCTATCTTGAGATACACCCAAACACCGAAAAACATTCTCTTTGAAATTTTTGTACTCTTCTTCACTTTTAGATCCTTTGATGTGCATATATCCAAGATTCTACTTATACAAAAAAAAAATATCAAAGTCATATCAAAACAAGTCATATATTAAAAAAATTGACAATTTACCAAAACAAACGTCTTGAAGAAGAAAAAAGACGAAGTATATTTATTTCTAGCTCTCTCATCATAGTTTAAAACATCAATAAAACAATCAATAGTCTCATAAAATAGATGTTCATGCTGATATAAGCTCTAAAACATATGACGTTCTCCACGTTGACCGGATATGCTATGAAATAAGTTGTCCTTACAAAATTACAATAATAATATTAATATATGTTAAATTAATAATAACCTATATTAACACAAATAACACATTACACTAGATCTTCAATTAAACTAAATACCCAGTTAGATATTATGTTATCTTCCTTTGTCAAATTAGCTTCAATAGGAACCGCACGAATCACATAAGGAGACCTCCTCACCGGAGGTAACATTTGATCTATTTTTGGCCTTGATTTTGATGGCGATTGATTTTCATCTCTTTTACTCAACTTACTTGGAACATGCAAAATTTTTACCAATTACATTCACTGGAGAATCAAATACCACTTTAGATATTGATTTCTCTTGCATTTCATGATCTGAACTTAAATAATGCTTTTTTGGGGTATAGATCTCAGACTCTATTCCTAAATCAAACGATGGTATATATCTTCATTCAAAAACCTTTTTCTTTCATCTTCCTCACCATACCAGCCCACATTACTTAATCTAAAAAACCTTTTTCCCATTTCCTTACCTACAATAGAAAAAATAATAATACATTTAGTAATTTCAGCTTCTTTTGCATTATCATCAAATATTAAATTCATAAATTTTCAAAACACTTACCTTGATGTGTGAAGGAGTCCTCTTTGAAACTATTTTTCCTTCAAAATGAGTCACAACTGGAATTTAGAAATAACAGAAACAATCATTTTTAATTTAATCTATAAAATAGAATTTTTTTATGATTTCCATGGTTTTGCAATGCCATTTCCACTTTTTTAGACAAGTCATACACAACCCACTAAATATTTGACTCAAAATCTTGTAAATATATATAAAAAATATTAATAAGACCTTTACTAAAATATACAACAAAACTTAATCTTACTAATATGGCTGCACTTTCAAAATCTCCATTACAATTTGCAACATCAACTCCATTACCGAAACCACCATTGTCCAATTCATTGGTTTCTCTAAACTTAAGTTGATCTGATGTCCAGAAATTAATTACAGAAAATCTTCTCGCAAATGGCAGTTGCTTACATTGAATCCTGTCAACATATAGCAACTACACAAAACAACTTTAATTACAAACTGAATGGTTATGAATATTATTTGTTCTATATACAAATCAAATAATTTAAAAGCATATACCGTTAGAAATTCACATGGTCCATTAAAAAATGTTTTAATTTCATTTCTGCTCCAGACCAGTTTCTCTTCCTTCAAACAATTCAAAACATATGCACACCAATCTATATTATCCAACTTAGATGACCGAGACAAGTAAGGAAGTACTTTGAAATTACAAGCTCCTTGTTTGTTACATGATCCTAAACATGTACACACCAGAATTATGAAATTCACAATGAAAACCATATTTGTTTCACTTCGCTCTATTATCTTCACCACTAATGGCTTCTTAAATTGGTCTTTCCAAATTTCAAACCAATCTTCATTGCCTCGAACACCTAAACAACTAATTTGCTCAAAACTCAAAGGAAAACCTAGAACCCTATTCACATCGTCTCTTGTTACGTGAATATTTCCACATTTACTCTTAATAACCATCTCATTGTGATCAAAAGAATCCACAACCAAATAACATAATTTTGCTGGAATACTTTGAGTCTTTACATCAAGCAATGATCTAAAATCGATTCTTCTTACACAATCTTTTTGGATCTCATTCATAGATTTTACAGCCCCATAAATAGAATTAAGAGAAACACAAGCATACAAAGCTTTCACATTACCATATTTACCACCATTTTTTTTTTATCTTTTTTATCAAATTTTACTACAAACTTCTTATACTCGCCTCTTCATAATCGGAATCACTAGAAAAATCATTAGAACCTACAAAACATAACCAACAAATACAATAATAAATTAATAATACCTTGATAATATATTAAACTCCAAAATATATAACAATATCCTTCATATGTTATTGAATGTATATTACCCTATAGTCTATTTTTTTTTCTTGCAAACTTTTAGAAATTGACTTAGAAATCTGATGTCTTTCTTTCTTAAGCTTCAAAGAATTACTGGAATGTATCTCAATTGGCTTCTTTACATTTGATAAAAAAAAAGAATTTGAATCAAATTAAATGAAAAAACGTCAAATGGATGATTTACTGGAAAAACGTATATCAATTTGATGAATATATCAACCATACACCTTCATTGATTTTTCCCCTTGCTAAGTACATGATCACTTGAAAAAACGTCATCTGAACATTCTTTGGGATTGTTCTTAATCCTCCATGATTTACTGGAATGTATGTCAATTGGATTCTTCATATCCACAACAAAATAACAATATAAAACAACATAAATTTCTTCAAAAAAAATCTAAATCATTATTTATAAACCACAAACCTCCATAGATTTTTTTCTATATAAGTAATTGATCAACTGTCACAACTAGGAATTCTAATGGTTTTGTACACATTAACAATTATAACATTTGTGACTAAAATTTGAAAGTATGCATGATGTTTATTCAATAACACCAAAGTTCCATCAATCACTCTATGCAAACACTTCAAATGGTCAACAAAAGATTTGAAACCCTGAAAATCCCGGTTTAAGTCCAATATGGACTAGGATTTCTTTATTGGGCCTAATGGACCAATAAGCTTCTAATTTGACTATTTTGGGCTTAGAACTCTTAAATGGGCTATAATTGGACACACTCTCATGAGACTTAACCTTTTTGGGCCTTATAAGTCTAAAATGGACTAGTTTACCTTTAATGGGCCTTGTTGGGCCATAACAAATCCAATTAGCCTTAATAGACCTCAAATCTATTCTTTTATGCAAGAATTGGGCCGTGAACTACTCTAAAGGCCCAATGGGCCGAAAACCATCAAATTGGGCCTCATATTATGGGACTCAAGCACTAAAGGCCCAAGCCATTTCTTTCCCTTCTCTCTCTCGGCCCAAGTAGAAAAAAAAAGATGTAAATGGGGAGGGTTGACTTTGGGAGTTGCCACCTCCTTATTGCACACCATGTATCCATGCATGGACCAACATGCATCCATAATGGTCACCTTACCCTCTCTCTCTTCTCCTTCTTCTACTCTCGGCCCAGAGCATCAACACACACACACACACACTTAATTCACTTCCAAATCCTCTCAAGAACACCTTCATTCCTCCTTCCAAATTTTTGAGATCTAGGGCATTTCAAGAAGGTTTTCATCCAAAAATCACTCCAAGATACATACTTGTGGTAAGATCTTGTCAACATACTTTCTTTCTACAACTTAATCACTCTTCTTACCACCTTAAATTCTTGATCATACTCCCTATAACTCTTCAAATTCGAAGGTCTCTTCAAGAAGATTGTTAGGGCCGAGAATCTCATCAATCTTTTCCATTTCTTCTTCAAAACCGTGAGAAACAAAGCAAGGTGAGTTCATACCCCCTTGTTTTCGGTTTTTACTTGTTTTTTGGGGAGAATACAAGAATTATGTGATGATCTTTGTGTGTTTGCATGTTATGTGTGATTTCTTTAGTTTTTGGTTGTGATAATATGTAATACTTGTGATATTTCGAGATCTATAGCAAAAGGGTGAAAGAATCATAAACAAAAACATAATAAACAACATACATCATAGATCTAAGGGTCCTTAAGTTTAAAAACAAAGCCAAAGAACTTTACAAGTGTCATTTTTGCAAAAATCACAAAGATTGGGTGTAATTTGATAATTATCGGTTTTATGAGGGTTATAAGGTATTTATTTGTATAAAAGCTGATTTTTATGAAAATAATACTTTCAAAGGGTCAAAAACATAAATTTTAGCTTATTGGGCTTTAAATTGGGCCTCACAAGTTTTGGGCCCAAGGTTGCGAAAAAAATGAAGTTTTGAGGGGCTGAAATGTAAAACTTAACAAACTATGAGTCTAAAACGTAAATCAACTATTTCAGGGGTTGAAAATGATTTTATTACCAAATTGGACTAAAAATGCAAAGTTTTTGATTTTGGGGTCAAAATTGTAAAACTTAAGAAAATTGGGCCAAAAAATGTAAAATTTTTACAAATAAAGGCTGGAAATGACAAATGCAATAGTTTTGGACCGAAACTACTATTCAAATAAAGTTTGGGTGTAAAATGTCAAGAAAAATGGTTTGAGGACCAAAAATGTCAATTTTCATAAAAAAAGGACTAAAAGTGACATTTTTATAGAAAAAGGGACCACAATGGTCAATCTAAATGTTTTTGGGCCAAATAAACAATTATAAATGTTTGGGTTAAAAATATCAAGTTATAACGCATGGCTTTAAAAATATATACATATATATAACGTAAAGCTTCGTTATAAATCAAACGTTAAGGTATTTTTTTTACATTGCAAATAAACATTTAACATACAACAAATACCAATAATACGAACTTAAGCTCGATAGAACATAAGTGATTTAGTGACTGGGCCCAAAACCTTCTATTTGTGTTATTGGGCCTTTGTGGCCCAATATCATGATTATTGGGCCCAATATAATTACACATGTTTATTGGGCCTCCGGTGACCCAATTACATGCCTAATGGACCCTCAATGGCTTTTACCTGTTATTGGGCTGAAGTGACCCACTTGCATTGCTAGTAAGGTCCAAATCAATCATATGCATGATAGGCTAACGTGTCTGTCGCACACCCGACAGCCTATAACAACATACGTGTTTAGTGAGCCTCCGTAGTCCTCTTCTCTTCGTCTGTTAGGCTTACCTTTTATTCAAGTAAACATAAATCAGGTTGTTGAACAATGTTATTCAATTTCATTTGGATTTAGTGAGTAATAACGGGTGACACCAATAAGTGTCGGTCGTAGTCTGTAGTTATAATCAAAGTCTCCTGGAGGGAGAGGGAGAGTTTGTGTATAGATCTATACGGGGGTGACCCCCCCCACACCTAAGTTGTTCGCTACAGTTAGACTCGGCCAGTCTAGGGTGACAAAATCTTAATTCAATACCGACTTTCACTAGAATGCCAAGACAGACGAAATAGTCATTATTATGCATGGTTATAACGACTCACATAAAGATCCAATACCATCTAAGTAATCATGGGAAATCATATTCATTCGTTGTGACGATACAATAATACAAAACGATCATACTATTTATATCGGAAAACATCGGGTTTTCTGGGGAAACAACAATATTCACTTTTACTTTCGATAACTATAATACAAGAATTCATTATGAGAAA